CTTAGAGCAACAAATTCATAGAATTTTCATATTTTCGTATCTATCTTAATATTGACGTATCTAAGAGCAAAAGTGCAAGGGAACAATATTGTTAACAATAAAATTTGCAACAATTTTTGTTATAAAAGATTTCCTATAGAATGCTTCGATTCCCAAGTGTTACCTTAGAGCAACAAATTCATACAATTTTGGTATCTATCTCGATATTGACGTATCTAAGAGCAAAATGCAAGGGAGCAATATTGTTAACAATAAAATTAGCAACAATTTTTGTTATAAAATATTTCTTATAGCAAGCGTCGATTTTCAAGTGTTACCGTTAATAATTTGAACCGTATAATGTTCTGATGCGGAAGATATGGGACACCTGTGTATAAATTCATTTATAATCTTTTACCAAACAATATTTTCTGCTTGTATTTAAACCTACCGATTTTTTATCATTGATTCTACCGATATTTGGTCGGCAATGCTGCTAATAACTCACCCAAAAATCTATACAGTATGTCCCCGGATCGAGTTACAAAGAGGAAAAAAATGTTGTAACTTTTATTTTATTTTATTGATTTCTATGGTTACATATCGTAAATTGAAGTTGAAAAATTTTTAATTTAGGAAAAGTATAATTTTTACATAAAAATGGGAATAATTAGTTAACTTCTATAGTTAGAATATAAAGTTCGTACGATTTAGTGGTTTGAACATATCCGACGTATTATTTATGCTGAGATAAGTTTGAAAAAACTCTTTGTTACTCGATCCGGGGACATATTGTATACTCGCACAACTATTTGTTATGGAACATAGCGATTTAACAAAATCATTCCGAATCGGACAAGAAGGCGAATACTCTTCCCCCATTGCTAGCGGATATAATTTTGGTCCAATATTGTATTTGTTATGTACCAGTGATATTCCCAAGCCGATGCAAAACTATCCCATTTTCAAATGTTCAAGCCAAGGTCGTTTGCGGGCGAGGCGCTACACTAATGCCAACCCGATACAGAATTATCTCATTTTTAAGGATATATATAGTAATTAATCTGTTGTCGCGGTCCCAATTAATTTTATATGATATTTAATGCAGCGCCTCGGCTTAATTAAACTATAGTACTCATTAATTAAGCTGAGGCAGCCTCACCCTCATTGCAATGTATGTCCCAATTCGAAATTTTTTTTAAATTAAAACTCAAACAAACAACATACATAAATGAAATAGCATAAATATATTTATTATTACTGCAGTATCATATTAACAAATTTAATTATACTATAAATACGAACATAACCTCAACCCACTTAATTTAGTGCAGGAATTGGATGAACGAGAACAAAGCGGCGATCCTCAGATGGAGGAATATCCGAAATTGGTTGTTCCTCAGCTGGAGGAATATACGAAATTGGTTGTTCCTCAGCTGGAGGAATATCCGAAAATGGTTGTTCTTCACACAACGTGTTTTTTTGTTTTTTACACATCATATATTTACAACACGCCAGAAAACAACTAAATATCAAGCCGATAGCAGCTCCTCCTACATATTTAATTATTCCTGTCGGTATAATAGTTAATCTTCTATCTCCATAATTATTGTCTAGATTTCTAAGGTTTGGAAAAAGATTTCGTGTTCTGTTGATTTCCAACGTCATAATGTTGTTCATCAAAATCCGAGAATCAAATTTCTTATTAAAAATATCATCTCGTTTAACATTTACGAGTGGTTTCTTTGTTGAAGTAGCACTTAAAAGGCTATTTTGAGTGTCGTAATTAACGAATGGGATTACATTCGATGCTATGTTTTTTATTAAAACGAGTGATAACAACAATCTGAAATTAATTGTTTTTTTATGGTATTAAATATTTTTTTTTTTTTCGGGTACTTACTTTGTAGTGAAAATCATTTTTGCATTGGACATTTTATAACCTAACAGCAACTGTTTAAAATGAAGGTTGAGGAAATAAGATAAAGCCACAGAACATAATATATATAGAACAAGCGGAAGCTACATGATAAAATCAAAGCAACACTCACTTTTGCATGACACAACTAGGCGCGAAATTAGAAATAAAAAACATTAAATTTAAAAGTGAAATGCTTTTTTATTGGTAGTAACAGCAGATATAACAAAAATAACCTAAAAGATACATATTTTCAATAGAAAGAACAATTTTAACAAGCTTTCATACAAATTGAGTCGGAGAAATGGTCCTGACATACATAAAGTTTGGGGTTTTAACGGAATTATTTAGGTTATATAAAGACTTTCAAGATGCACATGAAATTCTTGAGGAAATCTATGAAATTTGGGGTTGTTTGAATTATTGGTAAAATACGAGTTTTAGCAGAAACCCAGTAAACAAATTTGCGTTTCAGAAACATTTCTGATACATATTATTGAAACATGAAACGTTTCTTCGACATATTTCCGAAACATAGATGAAACGTGTCTGAAACTGCTAATGTCCGACCCTTTTTATGTTTTATTCAAATGTTTCTGCAACATACAGCTGACAATTACGGTACACTACTAAAATGTTTCATTAATGGCTTTGAATTATTTCTGTAATGTTTTGTTTACGTTTACATTGCATTAATAGTATGTATCATAAACATTTAAAAATAAGTTCTGAAAGGTTTCGTTGACGTTTCAGGGATGTACAGAGTGGTTCAAATTCGATGTCCGAATAGGCTAACTCGGAAACTATAAGAGTTAGACAAAAAGTAGCTTACATGTCATGATCTCGTTTTTCGAGAAACTGCTAATGCCGAAAACCTCATAGCGCTATCGTCTTTTGTTTTTCCCCTAGAGGCCAAAATTGGAAATNAGATGAAACGTGTCTGAAACTGCTAATGTCCGACCCTTTTTATGTTTTATTGAAACGTTTCTATTGAAACGTTTCTGCAACATACAGCTGACAATTACGGTACACTACTAAAATGTTTCATTAATGGTTTTGAATTATTTCTGTAATGTTTTGTTTACATTTACATTACATTAATAGTATGTATCATAAACATTTAAAAATAATTTCTGAAAGGTTTCGTTGACGTTTCAGGGATGTACATATGTATGTAAAGATATAATTTCGTTGACGTGTAGCGTCTGCATCCTGGACAAGATGCTCATACATGCTTCCTCAAAAGATATGCATATGCTGAGGAAGCATTTCTGAGCATACCACCCAGGACGCAGACGGTGGACGCTGCAACAAAATCATACCTTAAGCTAGGAAAAATAATAATAGAAGTACGATACTTGTTACTTACCGCTTACTGTACCAAATTTCAAAATTATCAATTTCTACTATTCTGTTTTCTCATTGATTAGGACATATAAAGTAAGTATAAGAGTAGGTATGCATTAAATGTATTTAGTAAATATGTATACAAAATATATTAAAATAGTAACTAAAATAAAATTCTTATTTGTAAACAAATTAAACATACTACATATTCCAATAATTTATGTAGGTCATTTAAATATAAAGTTTTTAGATCATATTAGTGGTATTTTTACTTCTGTTTATATATGAATAACCGAAAGAATTTTTTTTTCTCAAACGAAACTTTGTTTCAATTAAAACATATATTTGTGATGTTTCGCCAGAGTAATGTAACACAAACGATGTACTACAGTCGTGGAATTGTTTATTTTTCTTGATAAAAAGAATTTTACAACATGTGGTCTCACTTATAACAATAACCTTTTACAAAATAAATAGGTCTTCTTTACTTGTAGTCTGAAGAAGCTGGGGATCTCTTTCGTCATCTTTTTATGATTGTTCAAGACTAAGAAATTTAACTAAAATTTAAATAATCTACATAAACGTACAAAACTACATAAAATATACATACAGGGTGCCCATTATGTATGGAATATAGTATATATCTTGGTAAGCATCAACTTTACAAAAAAACATTTTATACAAAAGTTGTTTAATATTTGATTTGCCATAATAAGACACCATTCAATTGTTTTTATTTCAGAAAACAAATGAGCAACGAATAACATTTAATTTTTTTTAAATGGCAATGTACCCTTTCGTTAGGCTCATTTGATAGAGA